TTTATAATTAAAGTAAAACTTTGCAAACAGTTCAGCTATAGCTATTAGTTTTTCCTAGGTACGAGTGATCCACAGCTCGACGGAGTTGGTAAGTGAAATTGGAAATAGTAGTGTCAGTAGCCGACAGTAGCGTAACACCAGGTCGTCCAGAATTTGATGCAGGTTTTTTAGTACTGCGTCCTTTATGAAAGCTTTGGTGTCCAAGAAGCTAACAATATTGCAGAGCTATCTTTAACGAGCCTATTTCGCGAGCCTACTCACAGGCCCGAAAGAGAGCTGTCAAGTGTCAAAACAGTTTTGACCAATATACTTCTACGAGTTCAAACCCTTCCGAAGCTCATGGTCACTCCAAAAAGCTCGAGACAGCAATAAACCATGGGAACAAGGAGAACAACACTGAAGCAAGAAAAAGAACTCACAAGTGAGTTAACAATGCTGGCTTCAAAAGATGTGACGAACGGAAGGAGGGTTGCGAACGTCTTCCTGCAGCGATGACTGACTTAGTAATAATGTGCAACCAGATCGACAGTACTAGTCGTATTGAAATACAGTGGAAGACAGACAGAGGAACTTGACCTATTCTTTCCACACGAAGAAAAGCATCAGCGGAGTTGTTGTTATGAGCTGTCGTAAGTCACTGCTTCACTGTAACGAGTGGCTATCCCACCCTCAGCCCTATTACAATGTGCGTTGAAGGCAGCCCGTTCCTGCCAGCTACCTTGAGGGCGACGCCCCCGTAACCAAGAACATCCGATCTCTTTGGTGCTTCTACTTGCCTCACATTCTTGCCTTCTGTGTGTCGTATGCCTTGTTAATTCCTTTGATTGCTTGTAATCTATCCTATACACTTTATTCGCTTTTGTGCCTTAAAGATAAATTATATATAACCTTGTACCTAGAGTATCACAGAAGTAGGTGATTAGCACCTCCCTGCGGGCGCTAGCTGACTGGTAGCAGCGAGTGGTTCACCCCTCGCTAAGGTAAGTGTAGATCAGGTAAGTTACCCTTGTGCCTAGCTCGGTTGAGCCAGCGCGAGAATGGCCACTCGCGTCTGGAAGACAGCCGGCTGACCAGCACTCGGAGAACTTCGCCCTCTCGGTCGTCTCCAGACATGGATTACCGTATTTTCTTGGGAAACCCTGCTTAGGGCAAGTCTTTTTCTCCCTGCTCTCGTTCCTTCTCTGTTAGTAGTATACGGTAACCCTTGTCTATGCGATTAGTTTTTTTTAGATATGAGCTCTACCCGTGACGTGGGTATAAACCGTCAAGCGCTTTTGGAAATGCCGAGCTCGAGGATCGTAGGAGAAGAAGTATTTTGAAGCAGTTCGTCCCATGTTCAGGAGTTTTGTAACCGCTGAGTTAATGATTGGTGCACCAGAGATGTGATGGGAGTTGTCGAGGCCGCCGCAGTCGTCGAGGATGTGAAGGGACGTTAAATTTTTCGTGAAAGCGGCCTGTTGTGATCCACCGGTGGGAAAATGAGAGAATTCTGGTAGGTATCCGCGGATGTATATAAATCGCTTGAGCTTCAGTTTCCCGGGAAATAAGTCGAAAAGTTAAAAAAAGGTAAAAAAAGTGAAAAACCGTCGCTAGACGGGCCAAAAAATACTTGTCTTCATTGCTCTGTAATCTCTCCTTTTT